TCATACATATCATCGTGCTCCACCCATTTAGTGGGCCCCAACCAATATAATGGGCCCCTCCCAACATAACGACCCCCGCCCAACATACAAACGGACCCCACCCAACATATAAATGGGCCCTGCATGTAACGTCCCGAAAATCCAAGGTAAAATTTTCATTTTTGAAACAATAATACATATATCAATTTGTTCCCAAACCAATTCAAGTGAAAAGTAGTATTTAAACATCAGAGTAAAAATTATCATTGCAGAAGAAACTATGGGGGATGTTGTGCAGTCACACCGGACCCTTCCCTTTCGAAACAGAAGTACCTGAAACCATAAACATAAACCATAAGCACAAAGATTAGTGAATTTCTGAAAATAACATATGCCATACATAAGAAGGTGAATGCTATGGGACGAATCATAGTCTTACTGTCACTTTCTGCCATGGGCCAAATCATAATCTTTCATTGCAATGTCGAGGTCTAAATGTCGGCCTTGCATACAAAGGGACCAAATCCTAGTCTTTCCTCATAATTTTGAGGGCCAAATCCCGGTCTTACATACAAATTTATATGGTCCAGATCCTAGTCTTTCCTTGCAATGTTGAGGGCCAAATCCTAGTCTTACATACAAATTGCTAGGGGGCAGATCCTAGTCTTTCATACATGTGCCACAGGCCAGATCCTGGTCTTTGATACAAGTATCACAAAGACAACTAGCATCATACATAACATATTCTAGTGGGCGGAAATTGGTGTCTTCTACCCACCAGAACAATGTGGAGAGTCACCTCATTGTTAGACTAAATAGTTGTGGCAACACACTGCTCCGAAATCCAAATCTGCTGGTCAAAGTCAATGATTAAAATTCAACCGAGTTAGTCGTCACGTCGTGGCCTCCTTGGCCACGTCATGGCCACAAACCGACAAAACAGGCGGGTCTTCACCAACTCACCATGTGGTGGCAACCTCAATCATGCAGTGGTGATGAATCTGGACATCTTAAACAATTAAGTTATTCCTTCAACGACAAGAGTTCCAAGGATCATATCTAGTCCTTCCTATGGTCTTGATGGGTAAATTTTCCAACTTTACCCCTCAAACCCCTCCATAAGCCAAAGTTCCAACCTAATCACTAATGGTAACTTAATGCATCAAGATTCTCATTAGGCACCAAATCCTTAGAATTGCACCTCCAAAGTTTCCAGAAAGATTTCACACTCTAAAGAGTCCTTAAAAATCATGGCTTTATGGGCTTGCATGTCCAATACATGCCTTTTCCATTTTAGGTCAAAAATAGGGTTTAGTAACCAAAACCTCATGCATGCCATCTAAAACAAGATTAAAATTCAGATCCAAGACAACAAATGCTCTACTTGACCTAGAGATTCATAAATTTGCAAACTTTATGAGATCCCATTACTCAAATCCATCAAAACATGGAAAAAGGGGACAAAATCTCAAAGATCTAGTAACATGGCAAGAAAAGTTGAGTTTTGGACACTCACTAAAGTCCAGGAGATAAGCAATATGAAGAAATGATTATTTCCAAGTAACCATCTTAGCAAGAGCTTCCTTCTCCTTCTAAAATCACAAAAAAGCACTAAGAATGAGCTCACAACTTTAATGGAGGCTAGGGTTAGGATTTTTAAGGTTGAGAGGAAGATGGAGGCTGGAACTATATCCTTAATGTTCCTTATATAGGGTCCAAAGCCCAAAATTAGGGTTTTCACTAAAACACCCGCCACGTCATGGTCCAATAACACGTCGTGGCGGGTCATTTAAATCCCCTGATCCAAAACGTTCCACCACGTCGTGGTGATGCTCCACCACGTCATGGCCATCCCATTTAAAGAAAATACATGAACGTTGATTCAGACTTGGATCGGATGTTACAGGGTCACTGCCCCGAATTAAGAATCATTCAAAGCAGGGTGTTACAACTCTCCCCCACTTAAAATTAGATTTCGTCCTCGAAATCACTCCGTACTACCTTCCAGGCACCCAGGCGATCCAGCCCATTCTTCTCAAACCACGCCTCAGGCTAAAAGTCGAATCATACATACGAAGGCCCTCCAATGCTCTAATCAAAACCTAAACATAGCAGAATTCACATACCATGACGAAAAATGAATACTTGACCTACTCACTTAAAACAATGATGAATAAACAATGCTACCCATCCCAAAATCCAGGAATCCAAACCTTGTCTAACTTTCTGAGATATATAAAACCATTTTTTTAACACAAATGATGCGACTACACGTCGTGATCCAAACCGAATGAAGTCTTTTCGACCTTGAATTATCTTACTGATACCACTGTAGAATAGAATCCCTAACCATTCGTTGCTCTTGAAAAGATATTTCGCAGAAAACAAAGGTGACTCCCATCACGAGTTTCATCAAAATATTCACATATTCAATCTATCCGAGATTTTCTAATCCCATGGTGACCTCCTACTAAGCTGAGATATAAAATCCCCAATCATCCGATGAGACTGACAACCTCACGTCTGATTATACCACATGACTTTACCCAAGAGTCTAAATGTTAAATTCTAACATAACCTAACTATCACACGAATTGCATCCACTGATCACAGAGTCATCCTATTCTGAACGTGACTCAACACCTTAAACAAACCACTTTCTCCCAGTCTCACTCATACTATCCTCACCAAATGGGCCCCACCTACTGGTCTTACCCATCTGAGGTCCGTACAAACCCAAGACACCAACGTAGCTTCGACAATCCTCCTTCCCAACAAGGGGTGGTCAACCAACAATAGCGATCCACCTCGAATCATGCGTACGCTACGATCCCTCTACAACCAACAATCACCTTACAATAGCCTATCACAATAATACAAAAACACCCTTTTTATGAAACGTAATGTGTGTCGTAAAACGCTCAGACGACACACAAATGCGTGTCACGGAAGGCCCTATCATAACGAAAGACGACACGCAAATGCGCGTTGTCTATTTACGACACGTATTTACGACACGCTCTTACGACACACAATGCATGTCAAAGAAGGCCCTTTCATAAAGAAGACGACACGCATTTGCATGTCGTAACCTTACGACACACATTTACGACTCGCATTGCGTATCATTAAAGCCCCTATCATAAAGAAAGACGACACACATTTTTGCCTGTCATAATTTTAAATGTTTTTAAAAATTATATATTTTGATAGATTTAGTAATTTTCAAATTAAATAACACATTAGAAGTCTCATAATAAAAAAAATACAATAAATAAGAAAGATAATTCATTGCACTAATATGTCAAATACAAATAATCATTCCAATAGTAAGTAAATGTAATACATTGCTAATATTGCATAATATTTATTATAGAAAAACAAAACATGTACAACCGGTTGGATCCCTTTAAATGTTTGATATGCGATCAATTGCTCCTAATTATCCGCCCCACTACCCCTGCAGTTCAATCAAGACACCAAATCAATCAATAACTTCAACAATTAATTTCCTTCCTTGTTAAAGTTAGTTCTTTTACAACTATATGTTTAGAGATTGTGAAAAGAAAATATTTAGGCAAAAGTTTCACCTATAATAATTTGAATATTGTGCAGGCAACAAGAAAGAAAGCCCAGGAGCCTGTCAAAAATAAAATAATGCAATTTTTATACATAGCATGTTTATATGTTATAATAATCTTTATTAAATGAAATGCACCTGTAGGAGCTCAATTTGGGCAATAGAATCCAGTGAAGATGAAAGAGCTACTGATACTCCATCTGGATCCTTCTCTTTTAAATATTAAAGAAGAGTCTGCAATCCCCATGCAAGGCCAAAAACACCATTCACATATAACACTGGACTAATTCATGAGGGCACTTTCGAAAAAAAAATGATTTCAAAAACATGGTGTATGTATAACGTATAAGAAAGAATCACTATATAAAAAGCATTAGAAGCCTCCTTAATCCATTATAAATTGGTGTTCTAGTAAACAAAGTGTTTGGTATATCAATTTAGCTAATAAAGAATAAGAAAACTTGTTCAAATTAATACCTTCCCATCAATAAGAAATGTATAAAATTCCCTTCCCCTTTTTCCCTCAGATCAGCCACGATGCTTGACAAAATAGATTCCTTTTCATCCACTACAATCTGATCAAGAAACACTTCAGCTAAAATATTACACTTCAGCTAGTTGTACCCCCCATCCATTTTATTCAATTTTTAAATTTAATCATGTAATTCTTGACAAAACATATTGCTTTTCATCCACTGCAATCTAATCAAGAAACACTTCAGCTAAAATATTACATTTCAGCTAGCTATCGAGATTCAACACTATGTTGATCAAGATCTGTTTGCTTATACAGTTCTTTACAACCTGTACAATATTTGATAATCTCTCCATAAGTTGGGATAACACTGTCTTGATGCCAACTGTAGGCTGAAATTCCAACACATTATTTTATTACATAGTTAAAACTTTAAAAAAATTTATAATTGAAGAATTATTAACCAACATTTACACAACTGAAGTTGAGGGCAAGCTCCTAAAAGGCTTTCAGGAGTTTGTAAGTGATACTCATCAGGAAAGATCTGAATCAAGCAGTCCATCAGAAAATATTGTGCCAGGTCATCCTTACAGTTCACAAACTATCATACAAATATATATATATATATATATATATATATATATATATATATATATATATATATATATATATATGTATATATATATATATATATATATATATATATATATATATAAGTGTACTCTAATTCTATAATCTATACTTATAATGTAATAAAAAAAATGGAAATATTGGAATAAACCTACTCCAAGACTCTAGGAAGAACAGTTTCTTTATACAACTGAAGGTCTCAACTCAGGATCACCAAAATCAATGTAGTAGTAGTAGTACAAGCACTATTACTCCTGCATTGTGAAAATCCATGCTCTCATGAGTCATGATTCATTACAATATTCACAACATAAAAGTAAAAAAAATTAATGCATGTCACATGTCACAGTTCACAACGTAAAAGTAAAAATATAAAGATACAGACGCATAAACATGAAGTTCCATCCGAACCCAAAGCTTATTCATTTCTGAAAAGTTTTGTAGCACAAATTCAACATTATCCATCATAGTATCACTAAGGGTTTGAAGTGTAGAAGAAGGGCATTTTGAAAGATTTGTGAGGCTTCCAGCATGAGATATCAAACGAGGTCCAACAACTTCACCAATTAATGAAGCCAAATTTGGTGCTATGTCACTCATTTTAGCAACAAGATAGTAATAAAACTTCTTTCTGTATTCAGAAAGGTCCATCATACGTTGTGCAAACATCTGCACATTAATAAAGTCAACTGGTGACAAATCTTGACCTGAAAAAGAAAATAGAATAAGATACTCTTTTTATTATTATAAGTTTATAACACATTAGTCAAGTGTGTTGATTTTGGGACCTTTCCTAAAGTTGGGGAATTGTAATATTACTTACTGACCAAACAGTTTAAGTAGCTTATAAATGTTTATAATACAATCTGCATACAAATACAATTAGTCAATCACCCATAAATGACCAAACAGTTTAAGTAGCTTATAAATGTTTGAATTCAGAGTTTCTTTTCATGGATCATCATCAACTTTATTACAACCATTTAATCTATTAATGGTTGATGCTGAAACACTAGTGGGTGCATGCAATGACATTGTCTGTACACATCCAGACCCCTAAAGAACTTACCAAGTTATTGTTGCTGACACAGGTGCAATGGGTATTGGAAAAGATGGAAAATTGCCATGGAAGTTACCTTCAGACCTAAAATTTTTCAAAGATGTCACCATGACAACATCAGATCCAATGAAAAAGAATGCTATTATAATGGGAAGAATAACATGGGAAAGCATACCTTTAGACCACTGGTCACTCACTGGTCGACCCAATGTTGTTCTAACTCGTTAGAGAACTTTTGATATTGCAACTGCTGAAAATGTTTTAATGTGTTGAAGCATGATTTCGGATTTAGAATAATGGAGTGATTATCTACAACTTCCACAATAATTTTCATCCTCTTTCGTTGCTCTGTTGATAGGCCACTAACACCAGGAACCCCAACCAAGGCATCTTTTATTACATAAAGCTCATCTATTTCCAGGATTTCTTCTATGAATTTCAATACACGCCATCAAAATATGTTACATCCAATTAACAAAAACAATTGGCAAACTGACGTTTGTTTAAAGATATGTCATACGTATTTAGTTTTTGAATCAATTTCACGTTGAAGACGATAAAAACTTACCTTCAGAGCAAAACCAAATATAACCCTACCCATGGAAGCCAGCAAATACAATTCTGAATGATTTTAAGAAACTTGACTTAAAAAGTCTGGAATCTGTATTGTGATGTCAATAAATAAATTTTTTAAAAAAACTTGAAGAAACCATAAAATATCAAATACAAGAAACGTAGATTCAAAGAAGCTTACCTCAAACAAAATTCATTTAAAAACATCAAATAAGATAGTATTTCTCAAAATCAGAAACGATTTCTGATTCTTCTCTTTAAACCGGATAGACTGCCCTTCTAATTTTTATTTGACTCTTTGGAATTAATGAATCGATTTGACGGTTTGGCTTTTAGGAGAACTGGAGATTGTAACAGCGTAAAATTTTCAAACAATTTTTCGTTTAAATCACATAATTCTCATAACTCATTTCACAAAAATCTCATTCATTAAATTCACAAATCGCAACTCCATAATTGTTTAATTAAGAATCCAGGATCGTCAAAACATAACTCTTTCTCGGGTGTATACAATCAAGCCGGTGCCTTCCCGCGATCCTGAGAAAAACCTGAAACACATATCACATAACACGGTAAGCACGAAGCTTAGTGAGTTCCCTAAAATACCACACATATCATATTAGCCACTCGAGGCTATAATGCGAATAAGACCCTCCGGTCAATGTGTCTCAGTCGAGACCCCCAGGTCCCACAACTCGGGTGGACCCTCTGGTGCTACCTCATTAAGCTCATAACAATAATACACAGCATAAATCACAAAGACATAATGCAGGATATCAAAATACTCAATATAAGCATATAAGACATCTCAGTCACACATTATACCACTCATGGTAGGTATAGTGAGAAGATTCACCTCACAAGCAAGCAATTATCCTCGTACTTGAATCTCGAACTAGCCACCGCCTAACACATAGGTTAATTATCTCAAATTAATACTCGATTTTCGTTTCTAAGTAAACCAAAGGTTTCTCTTTCTCTCTCTAACTCTGGAAGTAGGTAAAATACCATTCTACCCCTCCATGGTCTCCATTACTCATGTTGACCAAACCCTAAAGTCAACAGAAGTGAACTTAAGTCAACAGTCTAAGTTTGACCTGACTCGGCGAGTGGACCCATGTGACTCGTCGAGTCCACTAGTTTTCCTCAGAAGTCTCGCAAAGGTCGAGCTCGGCTCGTCGAGTTGACCCCTAACTCGCCGAGTTAACGCATGATCAAGATTATCGGGACCAACCCTCAACGACTCGTCGAGTCAGCCCATGGACTCGGCGAGTCCCTTCGATCTGATTTCTCATTCAGACGATTTAAGGCAGAGCTATCACTCCCAACACTAGATCTACCATCCTAAGGCTCGATTGACACGTAAAGCTTCAATCTTTACATTCATGCATGGTGGTTTTGCTCCAATCCACCAATACATGCTCTCACAACGTGTTAGACACCATACTCCTCACATAGATGAATAAAGTTAGGACCTTTGGGCTCTAGGGACCTCACAAGGTCTAGATCTATGGTTCAAACCTCAATATGAACTCAAAACACTCAAGATCCTCATTGAAGATGGAAAAAGCCCTAGAATCCCAAAATCATGAGATCTACTAAAGAAAATGAGAGAGGTGCAAGCTTTATGCCTTTCTCAGAAGCTCTAAAGTGAAAGAACCATGGATCTTGCAGCTCCTTCTCATCCCTTGGCTTGGAATTCTTCCTTTCTCTTCATAAGATGCACCAAACACTCAAGATTAGCTCAAAATACTCTTTCTAAGCTCAATGGTCGATTAGGGTTTACTCTTAGTGAAGGTGAGCCGCAATTAAGGCTATAAGTGCCCTTAAATAGGTCCCAAACCATGGGATTTAGGGTTTCATTGCACGACACCAACTTGACGAGTCTGCTCTCCGACTCGTTGGGTCCACTCATTAATCCCACGCGGTCAACTCGACTCTACTCGATGATTTGGACTCACAACTCTTCGAGTCCCTCAATAAATCTCAAAATAAACATATACTTAATATACCTGGGTTTCCTAATGTTACAATTCTCCCCCACTTGAATTAGATTTCACCCTTGAAATCGCTCCTTAACAACACATAGATCAACTCATTGACCCGAGAAGCACCACCGAAGGAATCTCATATCAGACCACAATTTCCTCCCAAGACGCATGTACGCAACCAGGGACTCCCAAAATCAAGAAGGACAGACACCTCTGTCGCTGTGATACTCATTCTAGCTCTCCAGAAATTGAAAACTCTAGTGGTCTGTCTCCCTGCCAGACCGCCCTTACAAGATATCACTATGCTAATCGCTCTTCGCATAAAAGACCCAGATAACTTACTACCTCTCTACTTCTCTTGCTGCGACCGATGGAATCAAGTCAATGCCTAAAAGAATTGGCTACCGACCACTCATACCAGACATATAAAACAATCCGGATCATACTCCAAGGAATGAAAGGATCGCATCACACCAGGGTCCCATCCACTGCACTGCAATCAAAACCCATCTGAACAAGGAACTCTCAACACCCTATCCTCAGACACAAGAAAAAGATCATGCTTGCTCAGAAGTATCCTCTGACATCTAACAATCATAAACCCCAGCTTCTTCTTAATTATCCCTTTCAACACTGAGCACCAGGTCAGCTCCCGACCCAACAGTTAAACCTCCAAGGTTACCCATTTCATACCCCAAACGTCTCACTAGCTTCCTTCTCGCAATAACTATCTCGGACCATTGTGATACACAAGTCACGAAGCTCGCTTTACCCCAAGCGAATACTACAATCCCAACTGAAGATCGCCTCACCCTCGACCTCTGCCGTCTAGTACTCATTAGCTCCATACGTCTCGCGGTCCTTTACATGCAAACGAACTGTCCCACAGAGTCTAAGACATCAAATGTCACACCCCAAAACCGGAACGGCGGAAACGTTCGAGGGTGGAGGACGTCATGTACAGTATCACAACAATGCAAAGTAGTAAACAAGCAACAACATCATCCATTGCATTAATAATATAATTTAATACAGGTGTGTTCTTTCAAGTTTTATAGACACAAAAAATATACATCAAAATAAAAGATGAGTCTTGAACGAGCTCCATCTTCTCAAAAACCTGGCTCCGGTACCTGTCTAATGGCGACCTGAGAATACAAGTTATTTTGAAAGAGTTTATCAGCTTTAAAGCTGGTGAGTTCATAAGTATATTAGTGTCTGTATTTGTTATGAAAGTGTTTGTAAGTCTTGTAATGTATAAGTTTTGTAAAATTTTGTAATTGTTTGAACTCTCCTAGAAAACCCTATGTTTCCTACTAAAAGTAGCCTTCTACCAAGGCATCTAGTATCTGTGTGTGTGTCTCTTGTAAGAGTGTGTATTTTCCCAAATCTGACTATCATTAACCAAAAATATAGTTTTTACATTATTGTTTATTGTGTGAATATCACAAAGTAAATGTAAAGGGAAAATAAAATAGTACTGTAGTGTTGTATTAAGTAACTACTGTTGTAATAATTACTTTAAACCAATTGCTATTTAAAGTACCATGTGATCGGCCTGTATCCTGCTACCAACTCTATAGAAAAACGACGCTGTAAGACGTCATAAGAAATGACGTTTGGCACCCGTAGACTTGCAAGGCCCACTGTAGCGAGCAGGAAGGTGTAGGATAGTCAATCCAGTATAGATCTATACACAAACTCATATGCTCTCCACTTAAGGAGATTCTGGATACAAAACGGGTCATGACAGGTAGTGCCATGCCCCCGTTAAGTGGCTCACATAACTGTAAGTAATGTATATGTATATGTATATGTATGTTCTAGTTGTATTGTGTGTTCTTTCTCTGTCTAGCTATGTTTTGTTTTCATCACTGTGTATTATGTTGTTTCTCATCACTATATATTATTGTTTGTTTCTCATCACTATGTATTATGTTTGTTTCTCATCACTATGTATTATGTTGTCTTTCATCTATGTATTATGTTTGTTTCTCATCACTATGTTTATGTTTGTTTCTCATCACTATGTATTGTTTGTTTCT